GAAATGAGTCTTGAAGACTTGATTGTTCGTCTTCGTATTGAGGAGGACAATCGTAATTCATCGGAGAAAATTCCGATGATGGAGGCTCGTGCTAACTTGATAGAGCAAGGCAACTCGAGCAAGAGAAAGTCCCTAGACAAAGGGAAGCAGCCTACCAAGGTTTGGAAGTTTACCGGAACTTGTTATAATTGTGGAAAGCCGAACCATATGGCTAAAGACTGCAAGAGGTCAAAGAAGGCTGGGCCAAAGAAAGGTAAACCGAGTGCCCTTGTTGCTGAACACGGGCCTGTGCCGGGTGAACTAACCGACTTTGATATGTCGGCTGTGGTGTTTGAAGCCAATATGGTGGATAACCCAAGGGAGTGGTACATCGATACTGGTGCCACTCGTCATGTGTGTTCCGATAAGGAGGTATTTTCTGAATACACTCCTGCTAAGAGTCGGAAACTTTACATGGCAAACTCCGCCACGGCTGATGTGGCTGGAGTGGGCACTGTGGTGCTGAAGCTGACTTCTGGAAAGGAGTTGAAGCTTAAGGATGTTCTGCATGTCCCAGACATCCGCAAGAATTTGGTCTCCGGATCTCTTCTTGTTGAGCATGGATTTAGGCTAGTATTTGATGCTAAGAAATTTATTCTTAGTAAGTTTGGAACTTTCCTTGGTCGTGGCTATCTCGACAAGGGTATGTTCAAAATGAATGTAATGGCCGTGAGCCGTGTACCCGTTTTAAATGATAATGAAAAGCATATTTCTGTTTATACCGTTGAGTACTCTAATTTATGGCATATTAGATTGGGGCATGTAAATCTAAATGCAATTAAACGGTTGATGAATTTAGAATTAATTCCCAATTCTAAATTTGAGACAAATACAAAATGTGAAATTTGTATTGAAGCAAAAATGGCTAAGTTGCCTTTTCACTCGGTGGAAAGGAGTACTGAACCATTAGGCTTAATCCATACTGATGTATGTGATATGAAAAGTGTGCAAACAAGAACGGGTAAAAAGTATTTTATTACTTTTATCGATGATTGCACAAGGTTTTGCTACTTATATTTATTAAGAAGCAAAGACGAGGCTGTGGAAGCATTTAAAATCTATAAGACCGAAATTGAAAATCAACTCGGCAAAAGGATTAAAATAATCCGAAGTGATAGGGGTGGGGAGTATGTAGCTCCTTTTGAACAAATATGTTCTGAATGGCATAATTTATCAAACGACAGCCCTTTATTCTCCACAGTCGAACGGTGTTGCTGAACGCAAGAACCGTACGTTAAAAGAAATGATGAATGCCATGTTGTTAAATTCAGGATTACCACAGAACATGTGGGGGGAAGCTGTTTTAACAGCAAATCATATCTTGAATAAAATACCACCTAAAGGGAAAGATGAGACTCCTTACGAAATGTGGAAAAATCGTAAGCCGTCTTATAAATACCTGAAAGTGTGGGGGTGTTTGGCTAAGGTTTCAGTACCGGAACCCAAACAAATGAGAATCGGGCCAAAGACGGTCGATTGTGTATTTATTGGATATGCGTACAATAGTACAGCATATAGATTTCTGGTTCATAAATCAGAAAATCCAGAGGTAGCTGTTGGTACCACGATTGAGTCGAGGAATGCTATATTCTTCGAGAATATTTTTCCTCTGAAGGAAAGAGCAGAATCTAGTTCTAATAAACGAACATATGAAACTGCTAGTGGTTCTGTACCAGAGGGTACTGCTAAAGACCCGAGACGTAGTAAAAGGGTAAAAACGGCGAAAACGTTTGGACCTGATTTTATTACGTACATGTTGGACGATGAACCGAGTTCTCTTAAGGAAGTTTTGTCCAGCCCAGATGACCACTCTGGGAAGAAGCTGTAAATAGCGAAATCGAGTCCATTATGCAGAACCATACTTGGGAGTTGGTTGATCTCCCTGATGGTTGTAAACCTTTAGGATGCAAGTGGATTCTAAAGAAGAAATATAAAGCTGATGGATCGATTGATAAGTTTAAAGCACGATTGGTGGTCAAAGGCTTTAAACAAAAGGAAGGGTATGATTTCTTTGATACCTATTCACCAGTTACGCGTTTAGCGTCGATAAGAGTGCTTCTCTCGATTGCTGCTTTGCACAATCTTGAGATTCACCAAATGGATGTCAAGACGGCATTTTTAAATGGTGAATTGGAAGAAGAAATATACATGGAACAACCTGAAGGGTTTGTTGCACCTGGACAAGAGAGAAAGGTGTGTAGATTGATCAAATCCTTGTACGGACTGAAACAAGCTCCGAAACAATGGCCTTTGAAATTTGATGACGTGATGTTGTCAAATGATTTCAAAATCAACGAATGTGACAAATGTGTTTATGTCAAGAGTACATCAAATGCATTTGTGATTGTATGTCTATATGTAGACGATATGTTGATCATGGGGAGTAGCTATGAAGTGATCATGGATACAAAAAGAATGTTGAAAAGAAATTTCGACATGAAAGATATGGGTTTGGCTGATGTTATTCTTGGAATAAGGATTATCAGAACCCAAGATGGAATTGTCTTGTCACAATCTCATTATGTAGAGAAAGTGCTCAAGAAATTTGATACCTATGACGGTGCACAGTCTAGGTGTAAGACACCCATTGATCTTAGTATAAATCTGGTAGCCAATAAAGGTCAACCAGTGGCTCAGTTGGAATATTCACGGATAATAGGAAGTCTGATGTACTTGAAGAATTGTACACGACCAGACTTGGCCTACCCGGTGAATAAGTTGAGTAGATTTACGAGCAATCCCAGTCATGAACACTGGAATGCTTTGAGAAGGGTACTTAAGTACTTAAGGTACATTCTTGAATACGGGCTAAAATACTCGAGATACCCAGCCGTACTTGAAGGGTACTGTGATGCAAGCTGGATATCAGATTCGAGAGATTCTCGCTCCACTAGCGGATACGTTTTCTGTATTGGAGGAGGTGCAGTTTCGTGGAAATCCAGAAAACAAACGTGTATAGCTCGGTCAACGATGGAATCGGAATTCATCGCTTTAGATAAAGCTGGTGAAGAAGCCGAGTGGCTTAGAAATTTTTTATCCGATATTCCATGTTGGGATAAGACTTTGCCGCCTGTGATGATTCATTGTGATAGCCAAGCTGCTATAGGTAGGGCGCAAAGTAACTTGTATAACGGTAAGTCTAGACATATTCGTCGTAGACATAATACCGTACGCCAATTGATCACAAATGGTGTTATTTCCATTGACTATGTGAAGTCTAAAGAAAATTTGGCTGATCCTTTGACGAAAGGATTGAATAGAGATCAATTGGTAGTTTTGCTAGAGGGAATGGGCTTAAAAATCCACAATGTAAAGAATGATCATAGTGGTAACCCTACCATGCTAAGTGGAGATCCCACGAACTTGGTTCAAAGGGAAAACTAAGCTATGAAAATTCAGTTGAGCACTTGGAACATATGAATGTCCTAAGCTATTCCCTAGAGCACTCCAAGTGCAAGATGACATGTTGATTGTGGTGAGGGTAAGTCATGTGGACTTTTAATGAATTCCTAACCTTGTAATGTGGAGTATGACAGGATTCTCTTGATAGGGAGGTCACCTATATAAGTGTGAAGTGTGGGCCGCTTCAAATGTAAACACTTATGAATCCATTGTGTTGTCCATGGCCAAAACGGACACAACGATAGAACGGAATGGAGTTAAGACTCTATTGTGTGAATGTCATTGTCTCGGTGTACACTATGGAGGAATAGTTCAAGGCATTATGTCCACTAGGCCACCAGTGCATCCGATGATATTTACAAAGAAAGGTTCAAAGCCAAAAGCTACCTTCTCTGATACAATAGAGTTTTGTGAGGATTGAGCACATAGTATATTATATTTAATTTACACTCATGTGGGGGATTGTTAATTATATGTGAGTGTTAATTAAAGATTCGGTCAACTATCTCCTACTCCTAACAACCAAATTAATTAATCTCTCAACAAATATGCTAACCTCTCCATCTACTCGGATTTAATTAAGCCAACAACCTATTAGTTGTTCTTTTTCATCTCTATAAATTGGAAGCAGACCATTTGATGAAAGACACAGAAAAGGAGAGAAGAAACACGGCAGAGAAAGAAAGAAAAGAAAGGGAAGAAAGTAGAAGAAAAAGAATGGAAAAATTATTCCTAAATAATATTGGAGGGACAAAAATATCAGAGAAAAAAATATAGAAATATTTATTTGTTATCAAAATAACAAAAGAGTGATATTTTTATTCCTATTTTTAAGTGCTCAATTCTCGACTCCGTTTCAGTTCGCCGGAGCTCGTAAATCTGGTGTGCTACAGATTTAGAGACGTTTGCCGTTATATCTTTGGGGAAGTTACGCCTGAACCGTTAGCTGCCACACGGGGCGTATTCTTCTTGCGGAAAGAGTTTTACTCGCCTCGGCTAAAATCTTTCCGTTTTAATTTTTAATTTATTTTTCGGTTGTAATTTATTTTTCAGTTCGATTGTAATTTTCTATTTTATAGATTATTTGTAAGAACTGAAAAATACATATCAGTTCGTAGGATTCCCGTGTAATTTTTTATACCCGTGATCTAACATTTTTTTTGTTCGTGTATGCTCTTTTTTTATCTTAACTTTTAAATATTATCATTATAAAAGTGGTATTTTTAACTTCGATATATGACACAATTCATTGTGTAAAAAGCTTCTTTTGTTTTATTAATAACAAATAATAATTCAGATAAATGAATAAACCATATAAATATGAAAAAAACATAATTTAAAACTACAACAAAAACTATATATATATCACGTGCATCGCAGGCACGTACACTTTACTACTTGTTTAAAATAAGTAAATAATAAAATGCTACAGAAACAACAAACAAGTAGTATACCTCAAACAAGACATATTATTATTATTATTATTATTGGCATAGCCTTATTACATATGTGAGTTATTACGATACAGTTAAGAGTAAGTAAACAAGGAAACTACTGTATTAATCCTGAGTAGCGTTGATCCAACTAACAGCAACTGGACTCCCCACCACATTATTCCCATTCGACCATTCGATTCTGCCGAACGCGTTTGTACCGGGCGACATCTGGGTTGCTACCACCGTCAACTTGTAAGACTTTGCTTCGTTCTTTTGGCCGAAAACCAATGTTTTAGGAGTAACAGAAATCTTGGCTGACGGTCTTGGTGAATATATCGAGACTCGGTATGTCGTCCCATTTTCTCCCACGTTTGTGAGTGTTCTCCTAAAAACCACGGTTGTTTTACAATTTCCAGATGGGGGAATGGTGGCTGCAAAGGAAGGGTAATTGAGGTCGTTGACGCTGTATGATTTTTTGGGCTGGCAACGGAATTTTGTTGTTTTCCCTGCAAGGGTCTTGATTCTAGAAGAAGTATAATTTATTGCACAGAGAAAGTTCAAATAATCGTTCGTGGTTAGGTTGTAGACTAGGCCTGGGTTGAGGGCGGTGATAGGGGACACATGCCCGGAACCATGATCGAATGGGGTGGACGCGTTGTTGGTGGCTTCATCCAGCAACGGGCTCCCGTCCTCGTAATTGGAGTAAGCCGTGGTCATGAGAGCCGAACGAATGGCGGCAGGGCTCCACTCAGGGTGGGCCGCCTTTAGCAGGGCCGCGAGGCCGCTGACGTGGGGGCACGACATGGACGTGCCAGTGATTATGTTGAATTGGACTTTGCGTTTGTCGATATCTAAGCCGGTGGGACCATCAGCATCTGTCCATCCAGCTAGGATGTTCACCCCGGGCGCAATGAGGTCCGGTTTTAGGATTTCGGGGGTGATAAGGTTGGGTCCCCTAGAGCTGAAGGCTGCGACAACCAGGGAAGGCTTGACGTCCACCCTAGTTATCCCTCGCAACAAAGTGGCCTTGGCATTGGATCTATAGGACAACAAATACCTTCTTATCCCACGCCCCGACTTTGCGCCGACCATCGTGGCCGGGATCATGTGAGCGTCTGCTTCCAGCTCCTCCCCTTCCTTGTCAGTATTAGCCAAAATCATCCCTAAACCCCCAGCTTCTTTCACCACTGCGCCTTTCTCAACTCTTAAATTCACCCCGCGGTCACACAACACAATCTTATTTCTAACTTTCTCTGGGGTGAGGGTCCCGTTAATGCAAAGATTGCTGCCGTTGTTGCTCACATATCCAGCGTACACGAGATCACCGGACAGTGGCTTTCGAAGGCTGTAGAGTGAGGTGCCGGCGTAACTCGTTCTGTCCCCGAGCATGACATCCGCCGGGAAGTCGCGGTCAAGGGTCCCCGCACCGACGGTCGTTATCCACGGTGCAATGTTTTCCGTGCTGTACGGGTAGGGGCCATTGTTTCCTGCGGCGCACGAAACGAGGATGCCTCTATCAGTTGCAGCGAAAGCTCCAAGTGAGATCGCATTGTCGTAATCAGTTGGATCGCCAACCAGCGACAACGACATCACGTGGACGCCATCTTTGATGGCATGGTCCATACCTGCCAGTATGTCAGAATCGAAACACCCGGGTTTCCAGCAGACTTTGTATGATGCGACCCGAGCAGTGGATGCCATCCCCCGCGCCGTCCCGCTAGCGAAGCCCAGCAGGTTGGCGCCTTGGACAGGGGACCCGACAGCAGTGCTTGCGGTGTGGGTCCCGTGGCCATTGTAGTCCCGTGGGGATATTGGCTCGCCATTCTTATTCCCACTGTAATTGAGATAAATTTGGTACCCTTTCGAGAAGGACCTCGCCCCAACCAATTTCCTGTTACAGCTGGATTTCGGGAAATCGATTGTCCCTTCACATCCCCCTTTCCAGCTACTCGGGATGGGTCCCAGCTGCCCCCCGTCACTGAAGCTCGGGTGTTGTGGCAACACGCCAGTGTCCAGGACCCCAACAACGACTTCACTCACAAGTTGGGGATCCGGAAGGAGTGAGCTCGATTTCTCGAGACCAAGAAATCGAGGGGTCCGGGTTGTGTGGAGCGTGTGGATTGTCTCTGGGATAACAGATATCACCCCCTCAAGGCCCTTCATCAGGTCAGCCTCCTCTGAAGTGAGGATGGTGGAGAAGCCATCAAAAACATTCTCGTAAATATAACTCGTCTCGGCTGTCTCGGACACAGACGCCAGAGACGAGGCATACCACGTCGAGTGATCGGGGAAACTCTTTGGCCGTTCGTCTCCAGCCATCTGAACGATGTATGTTTGCTTCACCGCCATTGTCACCTGCAAAATGGATAACAATATTGTAATACCCATCGCTGCAACTTTTACTATACTTTCCTTCCCCATTTTTTCTTTCTTTATTAAATTTTTCTAGCTCTCTCTATCTTTTTTCTCTCTTTAATGTATATGTCAAGATTTTTTAATTTTTTCTAGCTCTCTGTGTCTTTTTTCTCTCTTTAATGTACATATGTCAAGAAGATTGTCCCCATATATATAGATATAAGAGTGTATAAGCGGGATTTTGCGATATCTTGTCCAATAGACATTGCGACTTGTTGGTACTGATTTGTCCGCTAGTGTAAGGTTATTGTCCAATTTGTATTGATGTAAGTTGACATCACCTTGTAATTATTAATTTTTTTAGTACTATTTCTATCTTTCAAGGTAAAAAAAAGAAAGAAAGATAGGTATATTTTGTACTTGAGCAATAAATGCGGCTTTGTAATTTTATAGTTACTAGTTATGAGCACGTGCAATAGACGAGATATATATTTTATATAAAAAAATTGTGATTTTGAAATAATTTTTTCATATAATTATAGGGTCTATTCATTTTGTACATTATTAGCGGCACATATGGAAGAGAATAGCGGGAGAAAGGAAGAGAGTGGAACCGCACATATCTCAGCCCCAAACACCACCGAGGGGATGATTGAGCCACAACCAACTCTCTCAACCTCGTCAGAAGTCCGCCACTCTCTCAACTCTTCTCAGCCGATCGCGATCGGCGGTCGGACGCCAGAAAAACCGCGCACGATCGCGGTCCGAACGGACCAAACCGGAGCGGCCCCGCCGGCCGTACACTTTTTTTTCAATAATAATAATTATTTATTATAATATATAATTAATTATGAATTATAAAAATAATAATAATAATAATGAAAAATTATAAATAATAATAATAATAATAATAATAATAATAATAATAATAATAATAATAATCATAATCATAATAATTAGAATTAAGTATAATAATAAATATAAATTAAAATTAATTATAATAATTATAATAATAATTTGTAATAATAATTATAATAAAAATTATAAATAATTACAATCATAATTATAATTATAATAATAATTATAATAATAATTATAAATTAGAAATAATTATAATTATAATTATAAATTAGAATTAATTGTAATAATTATAATAATAATTATAAATTATAATAATAATAACTTGAATAAATTATAATAATAAAATTTATAAATTAAATTAAAAATAAATTATAATCTATTTTAATAGTTATTACAATAATTATTACATATGAAAAAATTACTAATTATATTTTTTATTCAAGGTGTTAGCAGACCTGGACAATCTTCTGCCAGGGACGACGACGAGGCGTTCGATGACTATTATGATGGTTCTGGTACCCGACACACTAGAAGTCGGGGTGTCAATGCGTCCGTTCGTTAGGACAGACAGACGATGATCGATCAGGCTCGGAAGGTACAGACTGATCTGGCTAGCCAAAGTTCAAGACCCCCCGCACCTGTACGAGATGGTCCGCAGGGATATCATTTTGAGGGCCAGCCAAGCAGTTCGCGACTTCCCAGAGTCGTACCGTACGGTGAGCATGGATATTATTATCCTGGCCAGGCAGACAGTTTGATGCCCCCGGCACCAGGACCGTACCATCAGCGGGTATATTCTTTTCCTCGCCACGCAGGGAAGTCGATATCCCGCGCACGTGCACCATTACCTTACGGTCAGCAGGGATATCCTGATAAGTCGTACGGCGAGATAAAGCAGGGTTTAAAGGAGTCTGACGAGGACGACTCTTTCACATGATCAGGACCACCCGCACTACCCCCAGAGGGAGCTCCCACCACAGCATTTTGCACGACCCGCACAGCTTACGGGTCCTAACCAGCCTATCCCTCCTGTACAGGCTGTTCGTCCTGTACAGGCTGTTCGTCCTACACATGCTGCTCCTCAACGAAAGGCTGGGGGGCGTTTTGGTAGCGGTGCATCCTCATCAGGTAAATAATTTACGTATTTATTGTTGTTTAATTAGCTAGAAAAGTATTATAAATATTTTTTATTATTGTTATAATAAAAAATGTAACGTTTCTACATTAATTAGTAATATTTGAATTTTACCATACTACTACTACTAAATGTTCTCCCTTTGACACTTATTGAATTGTATTAAAGATGTAGTAATATTATATAATAAATTAGTTTAAAATTGTCATTATACTTTATTAATGTAAAATGTACTGTTTCTACGTTAATTGAAAATAGGTTTTATTAAATAGGTTTTATTTAATGCATCTGCCAGCAAGTGTATATATACAGATATGTTATATTCTATTGCAGGTACTAGCAAACGAGCTAGGACCGATAAAGATGAACCCTAGATCGTTAAAGGCACAGTGGCCGTTGGGCCCATTGATGGGAGTGTCATCCCTAGCTTTCTAGGGCACATCGCCTCCCGCATGTGGAGTGGAGATTTTAGGGGCATGCTGAAATACCAGAACAGACTGAGAGCGGTCGAGAATCTGAGGAGTTAGCGTGATGAGATGTCTCCCGATGCAAAAGCTCTGATCGGAGACACCGGGCTGTCACATCTGGTGGACTCCATGCACAGCCACTTGGACACTCCACTGCTTTCTGCGTTTGTGGAGCGATGGCAGCCGGATGCTAACTCGTTTCACCTGCTTTTTGGTGAAATGAGCATCATGCTGCATGACGTCCGCACCATTTTGGGCGTTCCTGTGGAGGGAGCCGTGGTCGCTGAGGACCCGGATTCAGACGGGCTCAGCATGATGTTACTTTTAGTCACCAAGGGTCAACTCATGAGTTCGTTCTGGCAGCGTGGTTCGGTGGTCGAAGTCTCAATTGTGGAGGCATTCATGGGGAAAGGCCGACCGACTAAGGATGAGGCGGGTGCTTGGATGTGAGTGATGCTGGCTACCACCTTGTTCGTTGGCAAGAGTGGTAGTAGAGTGACCCCCAAGCTCTTGCACGAGGTGCTCGATAGCTTGGATACAATTGGGGTTACTCATGGGGATCGGCTACACTGGCATACTTGTACAGACAACTAGGTATTGCCAACCGAGGGGACTCCAGTGGACTGTCGGGCTGCTTGGCTCTTCTGTAGACCTGGATATATAAGTATTTCCCCAATTTCCGACCCCAGAGGCGTCTATCCATCGGTTCTGACTGTGTCGCACGATCTTGCTCGTGGAGCGTAGGGACGGCGCCAATGTCAAACAATCGGCTCACACGAACGTATGTTCCTACGCTTCGAGACAGACTCGTTCTCCTGAGAGTCCTGATGGGTCGACTCAGGAGAACGAGCCTTTCTCACAGCTTGGGAACATACGTTCGTGAACCACATTCTATGAATAGGTGGTAATGGACAATCAGGAGTCAAATCTAAACGAATGTAGTGTTCGTAACTACCAAGATGACACATGACAATCTCACGACATGGTCCTCTAGCCATTGATCGTGCACAGAGCGGCAACATTGTCATGATGTACATGTTGTGCTGCCCACTCGCGGACCAGAGCTCAACAAAACGACAACCGCATTAAATAGTGTTGCAACAAGGTAGAGGTCCTGCGGAACTTCGAACCAGTGACCCGGTCCACAAGTGCCCCCGTCCCACCTTATTCGTATGAGTGCGGCATCGATATCCCTAAAATAGATGTAGTCGTACAAGGTACGGTGGCTTTGGATCTCCTTCGCAATGTTGCCTCTTATGACTGGCCACATTTGTTGGTTACCATACACGTAACTCGCGATGACCCGAAATCTGCAGTTCCCATCCGCCTCCACATTCAGGCAACTCACTTCGTAGTCCAACATAAACCATGGGATTCTTTGCCACATTGTAAAATCAAATATATTTGTCGGTCTAATCTATGCAATATCATAATAGTTTCACTTCACAATATATACAATTATATAAATACTTTAATTAACGTTCAGCTATATTAAAAAAATATATCACCTGGTGCCCCTTGTGACTGTTGAGAAGATGAGCTTGTCTGTCCACGCGAAGAAGTGGTCGTACGGTTCGATTTCTGACCTCGCGATATATCCCTGTACTCCCAAGAAAATGGTTTACGCTTAGTTGAATTGGTTTTCTTAGGACGACCTCGCCGGTTTTCGTAAACCTCAGGTACTGCATAATCCTGTTGGTCAGGGTAAAGATGACTGTACATGAACTGATTCATGTACCGCATCGTCGCGGGATCGCCCGTTTCAACCTCATTCACAAGCGTCCGAAAGAACTCCGCATCTGACCATGCACCCATGCTCGCCTGGCTCTGGTGACCCGTCCCTATAAGTATACGATAAATAATTCAATGAATTAAACCAAATAATGTACTTTAATTACATAAGTTGTAATTAAAAATGAAACAACAAGTAGAAAATTATAAATAAAACATTAATCTTATATTACCTGGCTCTAACATCTATAGCGTTCTACAGAACTGGTGAATCATTCCGAGATTAATCGAAATTTTAGAATTATATACCGTACGGAACAGACGGACACAAGGAAGTCCATGAGTCGCTTGCAATTCACAGCCGCAGCGCTCGTAAACTTCATAGCTCAAGTCATGCATCCTCGTAACCTCAGAGTTCAATAAACTCAGGCAGTAATGCGAGACCCTTAGTATCACGCTCGCGAAAAGGATTCCCTTATACTGCGTACTCTTCTTAACCCTTGAAGCCTCAAGCGCTGACTTGATAATACATTACATAACATTAGATTATAATTAATGCAGTAATATAATAACACAGTTAAATATTGCACTATGTACCTGATTTCAGTCAATTGAGAATCGATATGCTTATTAATCTTCTGCCAAATTGTATCGAGCGCGCCAGTGAATGTGTGAAGCCACTACTTCAACATAGAGTGGACACTTTTTACCCTACAGGAAGTTGTGTTTCCAAAATGTGCTACCTGGTTGGTCCAAGCTTTCACAAACTTCTCCTTGTGCCCTAACCATATGTTCTCCACATATTGTACCACTTGTGGAGACTTCGAGTATTTTGCGCGCATCTCGGCAATGGCATCATTGTAGTCATCGAACGTACTGGCCTCGGCAATTTTTTTCCACGTACTGTGCGTGAACATCTGCGATAATTTTTTACTTTTCCCAAAGAGTTTGTAGGCTTTGTCTTCCACATCCTTGTTGATGTGCCACGTGCAGAGTAAGTGGGCTAATTCGTAAAAATGCCTCTGAATAGGAGTTATTAAACCAAACTCTCTGTCACTGACAACCACATTAGGATATACGTCTTGGCCTATCAGAAGTCTCAACTTATGTAGAACCCAGTCGTAACTGGCCTTTTTCTCGTCCCTGATGAGCGCATACGCAATTAGGAAGTTCTGGTTGCATGGCGTCATCCCAATCATCTCGACCAACGGCATCTTGTACCTGTGCAAATGAGATTAAACACACTATTTAATATTCATACTAATGAAGTATTTATAAAGTAATATACCTGTTGGTTTTGTACGTGGAATCTATGCCGACATACCAATGATATGTCTGGAATAGATTGACCGATGCAGGATGGGCCATGAATATATGCGTCAACGCTTTCGTGTTCGGATCGGCTTCTGCATAAACTGTATACTCGCTTCTCATGGCCAAATGCATAAGCTGGGTAGGAACGTCTCTACCCTCAGAATTCTCTTTCCGCAGCTTATCTATAAAGTTATACACCTATCACCGATTAGCGTTAATTATAATAATTATTATAATTTAAAACAAAAAAAAAATTATTATATTAATAAATAAAGAAGTATATTAATTAA